CCATCTCATTAACTTGGCCGTCTTGGATGACATAAACAACCTCTGCAGCCTTGACTTTAAAGGAAAATACCTCATCTGTTTTGCAGCTATTTGTTTGCCACCTGTGTTAGGACCATTTGAACCACCATCACCATTTGATTTCCATCTACAGCTGTTGCATATGACACATTTATCAAGATTGGCGTCCTCGTTTCGAAACAACATGCAACTGTTGGGACATGCATCCCACGTCTCATACGTGAAGCCCAAATCTGTTGTGACCTTTTGAGCTTTATAATATGAGTCCGGGAGTTTCACACCCAACGGAAACGCCTCATTCAATAACTCAAGCAACATGTCAACAGACTTTTCTGTCCACTGATTAAGCACCTTCAAATGTTGAAGTCGAACAATGAATGACAAAGATGTGAACTTCTGACAACCCGGATACAATTCACTTTGTGCATCTTGAAGAAGTTTGAAATACTTTGCAGTCTCTGCATTTGGACCGAGCTGGGGTTCAGATGCATGGGGATCAGGCCCCTGTGGTTCATCACCCTCAACACTTGTACCGGCATGTGGATTTCCCATAGCCCCTTGTATCATTCCAATCATATCATCTCCAATGTCTAAATTAGCTAATGTTTCATTCTCTCGATTAGTATGCAGAGATATGTAAGATTCCCCATGATTAATCCAATGTTTGTATTTTTTAAAAAAACCATTCAAAATCAGATGCTCCCGTACACCATCTCGTACAAAATAAAATAGTATCGATTCTCACACTTCCTACACGGACAACTGATCATCGAACCTTCAATCCTATTGGTGTAGGCAAACACAAGGAATTCATCAATCCCATTAATGTATTCACTCGACATCCTATTTGGCAAATCAATCCAACTCTTATCCATCATCTGTACACATCCACAAGAATATCTCACCAAAGTAACTCTAAATATAATACCTACACATAAATATTCACTCGACATCCTATTTGGCAAATTAATGAAATGTCTAAAATTCCTATTTAAGGTTTAAATTAATTAAATTAAAAATTTAAGATTTATTTTATTATAAGGGTTAAAATCCTATTTTTTTTTTTTGTATTTTTTTTATTTTCTCTTAAATATTTTTATGACTTATTTAAACATTTGCAATTTAAATTTGTAATCGAACCATTACATGTGTATGATATCAAACCCCCATTGTCAAAATTTTATTTCGTTAGTAAAGTTTTTTCAAACCTCCACTGACTTTCCGTGGTTAAAAACACCCCCATTAGTTAAAGATAAAACTTCATGACTTTATAATTGAGTTTATATTATTATTAAAACTTTATAATTGAGTTTGTCTCATGGTTATTTGTAATTGAGCTTGTCTCATGGTTTTTTAATCGTCTCAAATTAACTTTATAATTGAGTTTGTGTCATGGTTATTTGTAATTGAATCTTCTTACACACCAATATAATTTGAGACGATTTAAACAATTAAAGTATTAGTTTAATTTATTTCATTCTTAAGTTCATAAACTCAACACAAGTAACTAAAAAATACCAAAAATAATATATTTTTAATGTTTGACTAGCTGAAACTACTAACTGCATTTACTGAGCCAAAACTACGAAAACTAAAATAGCTAACTTGATAGTTATTAATTCAATGGAGTTGAAATTTAGTGATTTAATCACTGTTTTAATTAAAAAAATAAAAATAACTATTTTGATAGAGATGCTCTAATATAATATGAATAAGAAAATAGTTGTTTGGCCGGATGATGTGGTTGTCTAAATAATAAGATTAAAATTTTTCACATTATGTTAGGTTGCTACTGTTACTGATTTTGACAAACTATTTCTAATTACGCACCACCGCTGTCTTGCTCGTAGCCCGTTTGAGAAATTTGGGGGTGAAGTTAGGGATTTGGGGAGGAAGGATCGAGCAGCAACAGGAAAAAGAAGAGGGGGGATTTTTTTATTTTGACTTTTTGCGACGGTATGCTGTAGACCGTCGCAAATAGAAGGCAGTAGTTCGTAAAACGGCGTCGTTTGAATTAATACTTTTTTGCGACGACAAATTTCCGTCGCAAATGAGATATGCTGTCTAAAAAAAAAGGTGTTTTGCGACGGTTTTCTTTACCGTCGCTAATACTTCCGCATTTCCAATCCCTCCGCTTAGTTTCATTACCGACGGGTAAGTGCCGTCGCTAAAGGCTATTATTTGCGACGGGTGACGTTACCGTCGCAAAAAATCGTTTTTTGCGACGGGGGCGCGGCGTCGCTAAAAGCTCCGTGTTTTTTGCTATGTTTTCCTGTAGTGTCTCCATTAATTACATACAGATTTGATGAAAGGGTTAGAATATTATTTTTTAACTATTTTTTATTATTATATTTGAATTTGCTGAAAAAAATTAATAACTGATTGAAGACAACGTATGCAATTGTGGCACATATTTTTAAAATACAAAATTAGTAGTAGCTTTTAGAGACGGTTATGTTTTAAGATTAGTTGAGCAAAATGAAAAGAAAGATAGGGTAGGGGGAAAAAAAATCAAAACAAAACAAAAGCAATTGCCAAAACCAAAATAAAAATAAAGGAACAAATGTTTGGCTGAGTTTTCATTTAATTTTTGAATTTTTTTTTAAAAATTAATTTGTTGGGAAAATTAAAAAAAATTATTTTAATTATTTTTGTGATAGAATAATTTTTAATTTTTTTAATGGCTATTTGACAAATTAATTTTTATTAACAAAATAAAAATAAATACCTAAAAGTCATATAATTTTTTTTAAAAAAAAAGGGAAAAAGTCATTTGAAAGCAACTATTGCCTATAATTTGGAAGTTACTATCACTACTAGAAAATTGACCTTTTGCGTCTAATTTTTCGCGACTGACTATTTAACCGTCGCAAAAAAAGAAAATATTTGCAACCGTAAAAAAGATGGATGCAAAAAAATAAATGAATGAAAATAGGCCAAAACTACCTGATTTTATTTTGGTCAATTTATTATTCCTATTTCTTTTATTTATTTTATATACCAATGCCCTAGCCCCTTTCACTCTCACGACATTCACAAACTGTCTCTCTCGCTCTCTTACTCGCCATAGTCGTAGCTCCAGTGGTATGAATCTCTGTCTCTCGGTCTCTCACTTTTTTTATCATGCTCTGTTTCTTTGATCTTCAATTTCATTTTCCGACTCAAAATTTGATTTTCTAAGTTGAATTTTCTCGAGAAAGATGCAGCCTCTACGAGATTTGATCGACGATGAAACATAAATTGTTGAGTGAAATTAGGTTAATTGTTTGATCGGGCAAAGAGAAAAAAACAGAGAGATGAGAAGCACGAACAACATCGCTCTAGATACGATAAGTGCTGCTGTGACTGCGATTGCGTCAGCTGGGACTCAAGCTTCAGTTCGGGTAAACAATTTGATTCGAATGTTAACTATAATTTACGTTGCTTGTTGTGGTTGATGATTTGATTATCTCAATTAGATACATGAATCTCTCGAGTTTCGATTTCTAATTCAAAGCTCTGTATAATCTGAACATTTAGGTTCAAGGTCTGCTGATTATATATATACGTTGATCATTTCACTTTGTTTGATGTAGTTTTTGGAAATTATATTTGTTTAATGCTTTTTAATTTTTTTATTTATTTGTTGTTGTTGTTGTTGTTGTTGTTGTTGCTGCTGCAAGTCATCCTCATCATCTTGAAATCGAGAAGGCAAAGAAACTGCTGAATGTAAGAACTGAGATGTATCCTACAATATATATATATATATATATAATATCTCCAAGTAAATTGAGGATGAAGCTAATAGGGGCAGCTGCTCAGCATTAGAGGAAGAAAGATGGATCAAATAGTAACTCAGCAAGAACATCTCATTGTACATTTATAAGTCACTTGGTACATATTTACCTAGAGGACGTGGGATTCGGTACTATTCTATCTTCATTCCACTATTTCCTCTTGCCAACAGATTCAATTATAATCTTTTGTGGGATGCTTTTTGTCTGCTGTTGGTTTATGTTTGAACAAGAAAGTTCTTAAATTTTACATTGTGCCCTCTGCCCCATTTACTCCACTACTATGTACTGGATTCTATTCCTAAACTTTTGTTCTTCATTGCAGACACGAGTAAATCAATGTGGATGAATATTCCCATATCAATACTAAAATGTTGTTAAATAAAAAATTGAGTTAAAAATTGAAAACTAGATTAAAGTAGTTTGACGATTAATTTTTATAATAATAAATTAAGGTAGTTAAATTAATTTAATTTAAAGTGCTATTAAATAAGAAATTTAGATAAAAAGATAAAACGAGGTTTGTTTCTTCTTCTTACATTGAAATTTAACTTTGACCAATTTTTTTTTTCCTTCTCCACTCTCAAAATATGCATGTGAAACAAACTCTCTATTAGTTTGGATGAATTTTTTTTTTTCCCCCCTTCTTCTTACAATGCTAAATATGTATTATTTGAATTGTTTAAATGGTTGAGCTTCTGTGCCTAGAAATTCTTTGCAGGAAGTTGTTGAACCAATGCACATGTATAACATCTTCACATAACCTTAAAATATATACATGACTTTTAAATTATTCTACATGCTTGGTTGTGGTCCCTTCACCTAAGAATGCTTGCTGACATGATCTTCTCCTTTATTGTAATTATTATATACTCGAAAATTAACAAATGTGGAGCTATGCTATGAAGTGATGCGTTGAGGATTTATTCATTTTAACATGGACAAAATTTGGTGGTTATGGTTCATTTCTACCCACCTATCAACGCTCTCCTGTTTGGTCTCGTCCAATATCTCCACCAAAAAATCATAACTACAGCACGCCCAAATCCCCAAACATTTTGCACCTGGAGGTAGAAAATTAATGAATTTGGGCCTTCTTTTGTTTTTGTGAATTGTTCTTTGTTGTTAAGGAGGAAGTAGAACTGTCTTGGTTAAAATGGGAATTCTAGTTTACCTGAACACTTTGAGTTGTCTAATTATACAGGGTAGCCGTCATAACTCTGTAGTTCCATCTAGTGCATCTTTGTCAGCGAGACATGGGCTGTCTTCTACAAATGCCGCATTGCTCCATTCGCTAAGGTCTTCCAATAATGATTTATCAAAAAGAGACATAGGTATGTCATCAGCACATTGTGCTGAGGAATCCAGTTCAAGATGCGAACTTGCGAAAAACTGTGCTCAGCCTTCTGACCAAAAAACACTGAAGGTTCAAATCAAAGTGGGTTCTGATAATTTGTCGACGCAAAAAAATGCTGAAATCTACACTGATCTTGGCCTTGATATCTTGCCCTCTTCCTCATTGAATGAAAGCCCCACCGACAGTGAAGGGTTTTCACACGAACGTTTGGATGCCCCAGAAGAATCCCCAACTAGTATTCTTCAGGTAAGTCATGTCCTTGTATCAGTTTAGTGTAGTATTCCAGTTTTTTTTTGCCTGAATTGACTTGAAAATTATCAGATTATCTTACTTGTTTTGGCTTATATGTTGGAGCAGATTATGAAATCATTTCCAGTGCATGGCAATCTATTGTTATACCCTCATCCGGATGATCTGATTTACATGATTGAAAAGGAAAAGCTTAAAGGAGACATTAAACCTAGACGTGTGATCAAGAGTAGCCAAGAAAGTTCAAATGGATCTGATTTTGCTAGGGGGCAATGACAAAGTTTTAGGAGGCAAGAAACTTAAGTCATTTGAGAGAAATGCCTTTTTAGTGGAATTGAAGAATCACATTGATAAGGGCACTCAAAACGGCATTGGTGTTCCGTTGAAGAAATAAACAGACATTGACACTTTGGCTTGTGAAGAACTTGTTGCTAATACTCTGAAGCTTCCACTTCTATCTAATTCATATTCTGATGTTGCCAACCGTGACAAGGGTACTACAAGAGCAGCTAATAACTCTATGGTAGCTAATAAGGTGAAGGAATAATCTTTCTTTGATCTAGCTAAAGTGGAAACCTTGAAGAGATTACCGAACCAAGAGATTGGCTTGGTTGAGAAGCCTAATGGAAAGGCGGTGTCCAATGTTAAGGTTTGGGAAGAGAAGAGCACATATGCCAATAATTATCTGTCTAAAGGTGAAGTGGAGGATTCCAAATTGCAGAAGTATCTATTCATCTTTCTGGACAAAATCTGTGTGAAATCTTATCCCACAACATTGTTGGTTATACCATATATCAGCAAAAATAAAGGATATTCTGATATTATTTTTTACATCTTATGTGAACTGTATATTTTCTCTCTTGTTGTATAGAAATAGGAAATAAATAATGTATATAAAGCCTTATTGTGTATATATGTTCCTAAGCATACATATGCATGTATGAGATTGTTACTGTTGGATACTTCTGTTCTTTTAATTGCATCAACTGGAATTATGAGCAGATTAATTCTTGAAGACAAGAAAAATCCGAGAAGCTGAAGAGGCTACCCGCAAATCAAGGATGACAAAGGTTTGTGTTAGATCATTTGTGATATATATCTAATTAAAACTAGTTTAGACTTCCTCTTTTTTCTTTGTTTTTTGCGACGGCAACATAGCGGTCGCTATAAATAGTTTAGGCAGTCGCGAATAATTTGCGACCGTTGATTTGCCGTCGCAAAAAGTATTTGCCACCCCCACATTCGCGACCCCCATTTGCTGTCGCATGGGCTGTCGCAAAAGATTTTTTGCGACTGTATTTTTATTATTTGCGACGGCTTGTAGCGGTCGCAAAAAGTGTTTTTTTAGTAGTGTTGTCAATGTAATTTCTGGTTTTTGAAATTTATTTTAACAACAGAATGTATATACATATTTACGAGTGTTGTTATATTATTTACGAGTGTTATTATATTATTTGTTTTTATCATCATTGTATTTCATTTGACAAGATATGGTTCTGTTTAATTTATATATGTTTTTTAAATATAAAATCATTCACAAACACCTACGTGTGGATGTCACCAAACAAAAATAATTTGATAATAAATTTGTTAAAACTAATATAAATTTGTATTATATTTGATTTTCACTACTATAATTGTAATTCATTGGTTCATTATAATATCTTATATATCTTATATGAATCAATTTTATTTTTATTTTTTTTTAAAACTAATATATTTTTATTTGGGGTCTTCTTACATTCGACTTTTGATAAGATAATTAAACAAGGTTAGGCTTCTCTCTAATTTGTGATCGAAATAGAGTGTATTATTGGACCTGTGAAGGCCCATCATGAGTCTCATTTCGATAATTTGAATCGATCAATGTGTAGAACTCGTCAAGTGCTTTGTCTCATTAAACAATCACGTTGATCGGATATTGATAGCTACTTGATCAGATCAGATCTCTATCAACGATAAATATAATTTTCAAAATAAATTATTGACAAAAATATGATCCGATTAGGTATCTATTGATATCTGATCAATGTGATTTTTTATAGGAATAAAGTACTCGATGAGCTCTACATATTGTATGGTTCGGATTATCAAAACAGAACCCATGGTAGACCTTATGGACCCAACAACACCATCTAATTTACTTTATGAATTGGAGACAAGCTGCCCCATTAAACAAATTGGAATTTCAACTCAATGCAACTTTTTAAAAAACACATAGGTAATAAATTTTATACACAATTAGAAGCATAAATATTTTGATGCTTTTATAATAATTTTTTGATAGTAATATTGGGGATGTGCGTGGTGTGGTTCGAATGGTTTAAGAGTAAAATTATAAACTGAATGGTGGATTGACAAATTAGTGGATTAGCAAATCGTGATTTAGATAATTTTAGATAGATTGAAAAATATTCTAACTAATTATCAAATATTTTCATAATATATAATACTAATTTGCATAATATTTTTATATATAATATAAACCAATTTTACATAATATATTTCATATATATAACTAATAATTTATAACAAATTTTACATTTTAAATATCTCTCACACTTATTTTTACTTTGATATTTAGGAGTGGTTTGAGATGTTCTAAATAAGTGCACTTTTTGACTTTTTATGAAATATGGGTTGAGTTTGAAGTAATGTGATAAAAAGGTGATGTGATTTAAATAAGATGATATGATAGTGACTTTTTGACTTTTTTAGGTTATGATAAATAAGGCCTTAATTAGAGGTTAAAAAATATATATGTATTAATTATAGCAGAGCGATTTGGAAGGCAGATTTTAAATTTTAAAATTTAATCCATTATTAATGATTAGAGTAGTATAAATTAATATAAATCTTATTATTTTAACAATTGGACTTTACACGAGGTTAAGTAAAAGCATTCACACTAGTCTCTTTAAATTTTTAGTCAAATTAGAATTTAAAAACCTATTTTGCTATTTTGGCTAGACCCCAAATGTGCTTCCGTTTGGGAAGTAGGTTAGCTTTTTAACTTTTTGATTTTTTTGACTATTTTAACCTGGGCTAAAAAACTTAATTTGGAAAGGACTTTCTGATTTTTTGACTTTTTTGACTTGTTTGACTTTTTTTGTGAGAGAATAATGTAATGATTATGGGTTGGATGTGATGTTTTGTTTGTTGTGGCTAAAATAACCTATTTTGTCTTTTGTGGATATTTTAGCCACAAACCAATTTGCCAAACAACACATATTTTAACTCAATCTTATTAAAATGTTATTTTGTTATTGTATTTTGTTATTTTTATTTTTTTTATTAAATTGGCGATCAGTTAGTTAAAAAATTTCTAAAAATGCAAAAAAAAAATAAAATAAAAATTGTTGTCGTTGACCGATTGACCCGCTAAATGTCCGGCCGAACTTCTCAGCGGACGATCGATAATAACAATCCCGCTTGTTATAGTGATGAACAATTGCACGTTTCATCATAGGATGTACTGTAGCACTGACAAAATAAATGAAGAGAACAGCGACACTAATGAATCATATATTTACAGCATTATTACCTAAAAATATATTTACAGCATTGACTCTGCACAATAAGGTCAAAATTATTGTAGAGAGGCTGATACTTGGTGCTGTAATATCCTTAAGCAAAAACACACGTAGATTGTACAGATTTTCGGTTCGAGAGAGGTACGTACGTTCCAACAGGGAAGAATACGAAAAATATTGAGACTTTTCAGAGAGAGGAGAGAAAGAGTCTAGAGAGAGAAAGAGTAAGAGGAGAGTAGTCAAATATGACGGGTCGCTTCAGTCAATCGTTGATAAACCCCTTGTTCTCTCTCTCTCTCTGTCTCTCTCTCTCTCTCACTGCTTCTTTGGTCGTCAAGCGATTCTGTTGGGGAGTTCTGAATAATCTCTGTGTTGGTTTGATCACAGAGTTTGAATTTCCTGAAGATTTCTTGACTGCCTTTCTAAATTCCATTCACTAGCTTGGTGTAGAGAAATGGCTGTAAGTCTACCTTCTATAATTTGATTAAACCTTTCTCTTTTATGGGTTGTGTTTCTTCGTCTTGTTTATGATGATTAGGTATTTAATGGGTTTTGTTTCTTCGTTTTGCTTTTTTGATTGAGATTTTTTTTTTTTTTTTTTTTTTTTTTTTTTTTTTTTTTTTTTTTTTCATTCCGTTGAATTTGCAATTTCTAGCTGTTTTCTGATGTGGGTTTGTTTTTTTCACAATTTTTGGACATGCTGGTTAATGTTTGATCTTTTGAATGAACATGTTGTACTATGAGATTTGGTGTTGTGTTGATGCTAGTCTATATAAATGAAATGGATTCAGGAGTCTAGACCAATCTGCTAGTTAACAATAGTTCATCTACAAAATTGCTGGTTACGAAGTTTCTTCATCCGTTTGATTCACTTGCTTAATGTTTTATGTGTTGGAATCAGAAATGAATTGAGCAAATTGGGAATTTGGATTTTTGGGTTTTTGTTTATAGTTTGATTAATGTTCCGAGTCCGTAATTATATGGTGTTTTTTATTTTAATTCCTGGAGCTGACCCCAATTGATGATTCGGGCACAAGTCGTAATTTGATTTTGTACTTTGATTCCTGGAGGATCCTCAAGTCTCCAATTGGGAAAAAGTTGTTTCTATTGATAGTGTGAGTTAGTATGAGAAATGTCATGCCTTACGATTATGTCTGAAGCCTTGATTGAAGCTTGAAATTCTTGGGGTTTTGACTTTAGCGGTTTATTGGTGCATTGAAGGTTTCTGCTTTAGGTACGAGTTTGATGCTTCATGGTAGAAATATACTGAAATTATGTCTTCATTTTTTGCTTCTCATTGATACGGATTTGTTTCTCATTATATTGAGAAATGTAGGTGTGATATAGCTCTTTGATTTGGGCAGGATTTTAATTAATCTTCCCAATAAAAATTGCTTGATCAATTCACTTTGTCTTCACATGGTCTGACAAGTTGATGAGATATCATTGTGGATTACAGTGTTTTTGGGCTTTTAATGCAATCTACAATTGGAAAGCGAAGATTCTCAATGACTCATATGACATTCTGTTTTGTGTTTGGTATTTGAAGCATTTTCTCTAATATCAAGGGAGAATGAAAATGATTTCTTGAGCGCAACGATTACATATTTGCTTTGTTTATTCAGTTTTCAAGTATTACGCACTATAAAAAAATAAAAAAATAGAGACGGATACATCTTCCTTCAACTGCATCAGTCACCATTCCTACTCTTCTGCAAAATACTTGGAGCCTAATGTGTATCTTTGATTGCTCCACCTATGTGGTTGTGTGATCTGAATTTCGAAATAATCTGCTAGTGTTGATTTTTTCAATCATTGTGGATGCACGATAATTTGTCTATCCTCCCCTCCCTTTATATTAGTCATAGAATAATAAATCATGTCAACAAATATATTCTATAATGGGTTTGTTTGTTTTGTTTTGTTTTGTTTTGTTTTGTTTTTTGTTTTTTGTTTTTTGTTTTTTGTTTTTTGTTTTTTGTTTTTTCTAAGAGTGAATTCTTGTGTGGATGGATCTGTTTATGCACTGTCATCAGAAAAGTCTCTAAAGTTTGTGGGGTGCGAGTTTTGCATTTTGAGCAAGTTGACTATATATTTTGTGAACATTCTTATTTGTAAAGGCTCTCTTTTCATGTTATTAGACGCAAGAAATTTCCATGGGATTCTCATTCTGCACATATCCTTGGCATTGGCTACAATCTCTCTCCCTCTCTCTCCCTCTCTGCTTCAAAATGCCTATACTATTACTCTGATCATTTTTTTACTTGGCTCTGTTTTATTTTCACTTGGCTATGTCTATAAGTATGTTTTTATTTGTTGCCTGTACAATAATGCTAACCGTTTGTACTATAACTGGTGTATAACCCAAAGCTAACCCTTATTATTTCTCATTTATGATTTTTGTTACCTAGAAAAGTTATCGCCATTGCTATCTTATATTGGGAAATATTTCCACATCAAAAACTTAAATTTTGCCCATATGTTAGGTGGAGTAGACGGTATGAAACCTTATTGAGTTTGCATTTGAAAGTTCTCTGACGTAGGACAAAACGTTGAGGGATTTAAAAGTTGAAATTGGTAGGTTTTCATTGTACCATGGAATATTTAGGATTTTATATAGTTATGGGAGGAATTATGGTTAGGGCTTAATAAATAGGGAAAGGGAATGAATGTCCCAACTTGAATGCTTGTTTTATTTTGGTTTTCCTTACTCTTTTTGTGGATTGCATCATTCCTTGAACATGTATGCAAACACGAGATATGATTGAGAACTCATTGACCATATAAATCAAAATGAATCTGTTCATTCAGACAAAATTACTGGTTCTGTTATATTTTGTATTTGCGTTTATCATTATTTGTGTGTACCATCTAAAATATATATTTCTCTGATGATTGGCTACAAAATTTCCCTTGTGCCTTCAGAAAATGTTATTCAACAAAGCTTGCACTGTTGATGGGGCTCTCCCATAGAGTTTGATTTTTCCTTGTAGAAATGTGTTAAAAATTTAGCCATGAACCACATTAATGGTCATTGCGAGGCAAGGTCTTGCATTTTTGTGTGTGTGTGTGTGTAAATAGAGGCAACTGAGAGTATAGCTTAATTAATGATTTTCATCTTCAATTTTAGTTTTAATTTAATTTAATATTTTTGGTATTTTTTGAATTTTGGGATTTAATTGTGTGGGGGTTGTCATGGTCTTCCTGTTGTGATACTACTATTCAAATGTTGGTCTGTTTCTTTGTAAATAAAATATAAAAATGAAACACCACATGGAATAATCTTCCTATATTTGCAGCAACGCCCACAAGTACCGAAGTTTGGCAACTGGGAAAATGAAAGTGATGTTCCATACACACTCTACTTTGACAAGGCACGGAAGGGTAAAAAGGGTGATAAAATGATAAACCCAAACGATCCTGCAGAGAATCCTAATTTGTTTCCGAACATGGCAAGTCAAGCTCAACCTGAAGCTCCTCCGTCCAGGACCAGAACCAAACCAGATGAACCAATAGGAAGGGGAACAGCAAGGCCAGTGCACGAGCGTCGGGTAAGCAGAGAAGATGGTGACTTTAAACAGTTCACTGAATCTCCGGTTCATAATGACAATATGGGAAGGAGAGCTGATGGCGAGTCAGCACATCGACGTCAGGGAGGCCGTGGGACCGCTTCTGGTCGACCTGTAAGACAAAGTGTTGGGTGGGAGCACAGCATTGAGAGGTCACCACTCCATCCTCATTCTCAAGAAAAGATCATGGGGAAAGGTAATGCATCTCCTGGTTGGGAAGGAAAGAACTTGTATGATAGCAGCCGTGGTGCTCCTGGAAGATCCAGAATGGGACAGGTTAATCGAGGCGATGAGACTGTAAGATTTTTTACTCTGACTTTTTATTATCCAAATTCTGCAATTAGCATAAATCTCGATCCTGTGTTCATGTGTTGTCTGTATGGAAAGCATTTGAATTCCAAAGCTATGTAGTAAAATTTTAAAGTCTTCCATTGTTCCAATAATGTTTTTCCTCATAAAATGCTCATGCTTTTAGTTGGATACTGCATTAAGAAGCCGGTCTTTGGGGCCGTGCTTGGTCTGGTGATAAAAGCTTGGCTGCCATGTGCGGAAACGTGGTTTAAGTCTAACAAGACCACGTTGCAGAAGCAAAATCTAGAGAAAATTCACTGTGCTAACAAAGTATTGGTCAAAATGTGTTTCACAGTCATTGTTGAACCCCTTTTATTTATGTTTATATTTCTTAATGCATCCGAAATTGAAGCTTTTCCTCAAGTGGGATTATAATCCTGAGTCCTTATTTTGCAGCCTGATAGAGGTGCTGCTGTGCCAAAATTTGGCGAGTGGGACGAGAGCAACCCTTCATCAGCTGATGGTTATACTGATATTTTCAACAAAGTGAGAGAGGAAAAGAACTCTGCTGCTGGAAAGGCTCCGAGTGTGACTAATGGGTCATCTTACACGAACACGCGGAAGCAAAACACCAATGACGATGTCAAGGTATGTTGATCACTCTTCTTTTTTTTTTTCTTCCTGATCTAGTGTAATAAACTCTTACGCTTGTTCTTACACATTATTCCTGATTACTCCCGTCTTCGTCATCTCTTCTTTCCAGTGTTGGTGCTTTCCATGGGGTAAAAAATGAGGAGATTGAATTTCTGGATATCCTGTAAGGCGCGCAAGACCCGTGTAGGTCTGAAAGTAACACATATATCCTATGCAGATTACCTTCTGATGAAATATGCATTTTCTTTGTTTCAGTGGTGGTTGTGTTTTTGTACTGTTACAATGAGCTAGAGGTTTTGATGGGAAAATATTTGTTATTTTTAGAAAATTTTATATTTTTGGATCATAAGTTCCCATTCATAGGTTTATTATTTTGTATTCTTTTGCGAAGGGACAGCCGTGTAAGTTTTGTGACATCAAGTGTATCACACCTCTTGTTTACATATAATTTCATTTTCAAACTTTAAAATGTCACAACTTTTAGATATTCATTTTTGGAAGAAAAAAGAATGATTTTTTAGATGCTCTTGCAGTGATCTATCAAACAATATGCATATTGAAAATTAAATTATGAATAAAAAATATAGTAAAATTTCACTGTTTGAGCTGGCAATTAATAGGATGAAATTTGTGTACTGTTTGAATATTTAAACAGTTTATATGTTTGTTATGCGGAAAAAAATACATTAAATAAAGAACTTTGAAAAAAAAATTGTTCCTAAATGATGAACAAATACACATTGAAAATTTTCGGTCTTACAAATTAGACACTAAATTACCCTCATCATCAATGACAACACGAGTGGAAATCTTGACAAAGAAATTATCAAATTTTTCTATGTTTGATATTTTAAAATACAGTGAAATCCCGTTATCTTGTATCAGTGAAATTTTATTTTTCTTTTTGTTTTGAGAAAATTGGTTATTTTATTTTTCTTTTTGTTTTGAGAAAATTGGTTATAAATCTAATTCAGAGAATATCTAAGACATTAGATTTAGTGAATTTTTTTTTATTAATGAAATGTTCACACTTTGTGAAATAGTTTGGTGAGAAGTTTTGTAGGACATTTTGTTTTCAATTTTATCCCTTGACTTTTTTTATTTGTTTGACTTTTCGTTGACTATCTGCTTAATTTTTTTTCCTATCTGTTCAAATTTTTTACAATATCTATTTAATTTTTTAACTTTTTCAATTCAAATTTCCCTTATTTGTTTAAATATTTGTCTAAAATAAAATTCTATCTGTTGAAATTCAAAGAGTAATCTGTTAAAATATCAAGTCAATTTTTGTTGTTTGTCTATTTCTTATCTGTGCATATTACATGTATACATATCTATATCTTTATCTTACTTGTACAGATCTGTGCAAACCAAACCCTATCCATTAAAAAAAAAATCTATCTGTTCAAATCTTTTTTTCTTTTTTTTTTTCTCTCTTCCTATATGTGCAATATGTTTTATCATTATCATCAACAACAACAATACCAACAATAACAACAACAAATCCTAATCTCATCCTCTCAAAACTTTTATCAAATTGTGTTTTACTCAAATCAAGGGAGACTAAAGTGTTTACTCAAATTTATAATTCTGCCATCACTAACATTTTTACTCAAAGTTATGCTTTAATTTGAGTTTGTCCATTTGGAGTGCTGCATTTCAAATTGAACTTTTATTCAAATTCGTTTACACACACACAGACACACACACATATATATATATATATAGAGAGAGAGAGAGAGAGAGAGAGAGAGAGAGAGATAAGAGAGAAAACATTCAGTTCATATCTCTCCATGATCACAAAAAAGAACCCAAAGTTCACGATATCAAACCACATTTCACCAGTAAAATTCACAAAACAAACAGAAAAATTAACCAGAACACACACTCAAAAGCAATATACATCCATGTGTACATATACAGAGAGAGAGAGAGAGACGGTAGGGGGTTTTGGACCTGCATTCCCAAGTCTGGAAGCTAGATTTGTAGGTGAGATAGTTAAGAGGCTTCCAATAGTTCAATATATCTTAGCCAAATCCAGATCTGGACATTTCTAGGGATACAAATCTAGATCTGAGCTATTTTATGCAGAATGAATCAAATCAAATTCCATCAAACCCTAATTTCATCAAATTCTTCAATTTTCTTGAATTCAAACACAAACACATATATACACACACACGAAGAGGATCTCTGTTCTCAACCCAGATTTGTTGGCTTCTCCGACCATCATGGACGGTGGCGCCACCCCTGGGTGCTCTGACTTGCCTCATAGCCGAAGAGAGAGAAAGAACAAGAGAAAGATGGAGAACAAGAGAGAAGGTTTTTCCCGGCATCGATCATCGTCTCCGATCGGAGGCGGTCACAGATCCGACAACGGCGGTGGATTCTTTTGAATAACGTGAAAATAAATATAAAGAAAAAAAAAAAAAACCTAAAGAAAATTATCAATCAGTAATAATTTGAGAAAGTTATTACATATTTATGAAAAATTTATAATTTTAATTATTAATATTTATAAATTTTATTACTTATTTGTAATTGTTTTTTTTTTCCTATCTGTTCAAATTTTTTACAATATCTATTTAATTTTTTAACTTTTTCAATCCAAATTTCCCTTATTTGTTTAAATATTTGTCTAAAATAAAATCCTATCTGTTGAAATTCAAAGAGTGATCTGTTAAAATATCAAGTCAATTTTTGTTGTTTGTCTATTTCTTATCTGTGCATATTACATATATACATATCTATATCTTTATCTTACTTGTACAGATCTGTGCAAACCAAACCCTATCTATTAAAAAAAAAATCTATCTGTTCAAATCTTTTTTTCTTTTTTTTTTTCTCTCTTCCTATATGTGCAATATGTTTTATCATTATCATCAACAACAACAATACCAACAATAACAACAACAAATCCTAATCTCATCCTCTCAAAACTTTTATCAAATTGAGTTTTACTCAAATCAAGGGAGACTAAGTGTTTACTCAAATTTATAATTCTGCCATCACTAACATTTTTACTCAAAGTTATGCTTTAATTTGAGTTTGTCCATTTGGGGTGCTGCATTTCAAATTGAACTTTTATTCAAATTCGTTTACACACACACACACACAGATATATATATATATATATATAGAGAGAGAGAGAGAGAGAGAGAGAGAGATAAGAGAGAAAACATTCAGTTCATATCTCTCCATGATCACAAAAAGAACCCAAAGTTCACGATATAAAACCACATTTCACCAGTAAAATTCACAAAACAAACAGAAAAATTAACCAGAACACACACTCAAAAGCAATATACATCCATGTGTACATATACAGAGAGAGAGAGAGAGACGGTAGGGGGTTTTGGACCTGCATTCCCAAGTCTGGAAGCTAGATTTGTAGATGAGATAGTTAAGAGGCTCCCAATAGTTCAATAAATCCAGATCTGGACATTTCTAGGGATACAAATCTAGATCTGAGCTATTTTATGCAGAATGAATCAAATCAAATTCCATCAAACCCTAATTTCATCAAATTCTTCAATTTTCTTGAATTCAAACACAAACACATATATACACACACACGAAGAGGATCTCTGTTCTCAACCCAGATTTGTTGGCTTCTCCGACCATCATGGACGGTGGCGCCACCCCTGGGTGCTCTGACTTGCCTCATAGCCGAAGAGAGAGAAAGAACAAGAGAAAGATGGAGAACAAGAGAGAAGGTTTTTCCCGGCATCGATCATCGTCTCCGATCGGAGGCGGTCACAGATCCGACAACGGCGGTGGATTCTTTTGAATAACGTGAAAATAAATATAAAGAAAAAAAAAAAAAACCTAAAGAAAATTATCAATCAGTAATAATTTGAGAAAGTTATTACATATTTATGAAAAATTTATAATTTTAATTATTAATATTTATAAATTTTATTACTTATTTGTAATTGTTTTTAAAATTTTACACTAATATGAAATTTCTCAAAAAAAAAAAAAAATAAATAAAAAATCTGTATCTGGCAAAGCAATCCATTTTTGACAATTTGATTTAAAATCGATTTACCAAAAGATTTGCCGGATTTGGACTCTTTTGTGTTTATCTATTTCCCATTGCACTTGTGGAATCAGATTCAGAATCGTGGGAGTCCAAACTGTAGGGTTTATCATCTTCCGAAAGGAGTGTGAAAAGTCGAGCTACAGTTTTTGGCGACTCTGCTGGGAAATTACGAGAACTTGACTCGAACTTCATGATGTGAAATTTTATCTACATTTATATGTTCTTTGCATTTGTATTTGCATTGGTGTGTTTACTCTAAAGAGAAAAACAATGAAGGCTAGAGAAATTATTTGGATTCCAATCTAAAGATTTTCTTTGGATTTTTAGAAAATTTATCTGGTTTTCGCAAGAATTTCACTGGGTTCAAACTAGAAAAAGACCCGAGGTTGTGTGTTTGAGAGTCAAACAAAGTGGGTTGCTGGTGGTGGAAGAGAGATGGTGGTGGTGGTGGTGGTGGTGGTGGTGGTGGTGGTTGTGGAAAAGGTGACTGTGAGTGGTTGGAGATGGAGCCAAAACTGTGATTTAAGAAATGAGAGATTGACTGAGTCTGTGAATCATACTCTTCATCTCTACCACTTGAAGATTGCATATTCCTAGCGTTTCCAAAATCCATTTGCTACCAAAAAAGGGAAATGAAAGATGATATATTAAATAAATAATAAGAAAAGGGGCCAAACCTACTGAAAGATGGTTGTAGTTCAAAAAAAAAGAAGAGAATCTGAGAGAGAGTACAGAGAAAATTCACACAGTGATCATAGCTAGAGAAAATTTACAAAATTACAAACAATGATCATAACCAGAGAAAATCCACACAGTCCAGAGAAAATTCAATCTGATTTCCTCACAGTATATCTATATTTGTATATATGAACATATCTCAACCTCTCTTCCATTTCTTTTCAATTCCACATTTTCTTTTCTTCTAGAAAATTTCCCCACAAAGATGTGTGGTTTGATTGATTTCAATAGTGTCGATGACAACGGCGACTCTCCTCCTCCTCCTCCTCTGTCGCCCCATCCAAAGAAAATTCACAAAATTACATGCAGAGAATTTCTATGGGTTCAAACTAGAGAAAATTGAAATTTCTCTAGTTTTGAACTAATTTTCTTTGATTTACTTACAATTTTCTCTGTGTTTTGACCAAACAAGAGAAAATTGTGTTTTGACTCAGTTAGAGAAAATTGATCAAAAATCCAACATAAAGCATCACAACAAAAATTCACCATGTAAATAGCACAGTGAGAGCGAGAAACAGAAGGTGAAGAACAAACCCTTATCTTTCTCTTTGTCTCTCTCTCCCCCCTTCCCAAATGGACCAACCATGGAGGTCGTCGAGTTTGATTACAGTTTGTTTATTCTAATCACATTTATATATTGTTACCCATTTTATGATTTTTTATTTTATAACTGTC